GGGGGGGGGGGGGTCTGGGGTGGCCCCCAAATTCCCCCCCGCTGTGGCCCCCCCGTCCCCCGCCCGGAGCTCGGAGTGGGGGGGGGGTCACACAAGGCCCGGGAAGCACCGGGGAGTGAACCCGCTTATGGGGGGGGACCGGGGACTCCCCCCTCCCATTCCTAGGGTCTCCCCCGTGGGGGGCCCCGCTGGGGTGGTTTGGGTTGAAACGTCGGAATTTGGGGGGGTTTACCCCGGAATTGCTCATTTTTGGGGGGAACGAGGCTTTTGGGTGGGGGAGGGGGCTGGGGGGGGTCGTGTAGAGGGCCTGGGGGTGATGGGGGCTGGGGGAGGTTCACGGCTGAGCTGAGACCCCCCCCAGGGCTCTCAGGGGTCCCCCCCATGTACCCCCCCCCCCCCCCGGGCCCCCCCCCCCCCCCCCAACCGCCCCCCCCCGGGGGTTGCCCTGGGGGGTCTCCCCAGGGTTGTGCTCCCCCCCCCCCAACAGCTCCACCTCCCCCCAGCTCAGCTGTGACCCCCCTGGGCTCTCAGGGTGGGCTGAACCCCCCTCGGCACTCAGGGCCCCCCCCAGAGTCTCCACCAGCCCCCCCTGACAGCCCCAGGTCCCCAGGGGCTGCAGATGGGGGTCCAGTTCAGCTCTTGGGGGTCCCCCCCGCGGTTGTGTCACCCCTCTGACGGGTCCTCCCCGGGGTTGTGTCACCCCTCTGTGAGACCCGTCTCTCTCTCACCCCCTCTGAGGGCTCCCCCTCCCCCCTGGTCCCCGGGGCTGGGGGGGGGAGGGGCACAAGTGAGCTGAGCTCCCCCTGTGGCTCTCAGGGGTCCCCCAGGGTCTCCCCCCCACCCCCCGACAGCTCCACCTTCCCCCAGCTCAGCTGTGACCCCCCATAGATCTCAAGGGTCCCCCAAAGCTCCCCCCCCTCGTGCCTGGAGCTGTGGGTGGGGGGTCACAACTGAGCTGAGCCCCCCCATGGCTCTCAGGGGTCGGCTGTGACCCCCCCCGGGCTGTCAGGGGCCCCCCCAGGGTTGTGTCTGCCCCCGGACACCTCCACCTCCCCCAGGTACCCGGGGGCTGCAGTTGGGGGGTCTCAGCTCAGCTCTCGGGGGGCCCCCAGGGTCTCCCCCCATCTCCCCCCAACAGCTCCACCTTCCCCCCAGCTCAGCTGTGACCCTCCCGTGGCTCTCAGGGGTCCCCCCAGGGTCCCCAAAGCCCCCCGGGGGCTGTAGTTGGGGGTTCTCAGCTCAGCTCTCAGGGGCCCCCCGGGCTCTCCCCCCTCCTCTGACCGCTCCCCCTCCCCCCAGGTCCCCCCCTCTGCGAGGACTCCCCAGATGAGCGTGACCGGGGGGCACCTTTGGGTGCTCTGAGCAGACCCCCCCCAGCGATGTGAGCCCCCCGTGCGATGCCCAGCGCAGGATGGAGCCCTCCCTGCCCTCCCCGTGGGGCTGGAACGGCTCCCGAGGAGGGGGGGCCCGGCCCCCCAACAACGGCAGCGCCGAGGGCAAGGCCAAGGACGGCGGGGGGGCCGCGCGGGCCGTGGGGCTGCTCTTCATGGTGCTGCTCGACCTGACGGCGCTGGTGGGCAACGCGGCCGTGGTGGGGGTCATCGCCCGCACCCCCGCGCTGCGCAAGTTCGTCTTCGTGCTCCACCTGTGCCTCGTGGACCTGGTGGCCGCGCTGACGCTGATGCCGCTGGAGATGCTGGTGGGCTCGGCGCTGGGGGGCTCGCCGGGGCTGTGCCGCGTCTACCTGTTCCTGCTGGTGTGCCTAAGCTCCGTGTGCATCCTCTCCATCTCCACGCTCAGCCTGGAGCGCTACTACTCGGTGGTGCACCCGCTGCGCTACGAGGCGCACATGACGCCCACGCTGGTGGCCGGGGTGCTGGCGGCCGTGTGGCTCAAGGCCGTGGCCACCTCGGTGGTGCCGGTGCTGGGCTGGCTGTCCCCCCCCGAGCGTCCCCCCGCGCCGGGCTGCTCGCTGCAGTGGAGCCCCGGCGCGCCCTGCGTGGTGTTCGTGGCGTTCCTCGCCGCCTTCTACTTCGCGCTGCCGCTGCTCGTCATCGTGCTCACCTACTGCGCCATGTTCCGCGTGGCCCGCGTGGCCGCCGCCCAGCGCGGCCCCCTCCCCACCTGGCTGGAGACCCCCCCCCCGGCCCGCCGGCGCTCGGCCTCGCTCAGCAGCCGCTCGCCCATGGTGACCCCCCCGTGCCCGGGGGGAGCCCCCCGCAGCACCCCGCACAGGACGCCGGGCGCGGGGGGGGGGCAAGGCGGCCGCGGTGCCGCTGGCCGTGGGGGGCCAGTTCCTGCTCTGCTGGTTGCCCTTCTTCTCCTTCCAGCTCTACGCGGCGCTGGGGGGGGGCGCGGGGGGGCGGCGCGGCCGAGACCGTGGTGACCTGGCTGGGGTTCTGCTGCTTCACGTCCAACCCCTTCTTCTACGGCTGCCTCAACCGGCAGATCCGCGCCGAGCTGGGCCGGCTCGTGGCGACCCTCCTCAAGCAGCCCCCCGAGGAGGGGCTGCGCCTGCCCAGCCGCGAGGGCTCCATCCAGGAGAACTTCCTGCAGTTCCTGCAGAGCACGGGCAGACCCCCCGAGCCCCCCCCGGGCACCCCCAGACGGGACCTGCCCCCCTCCACGGGCACCCCCAGGCAGGACGTGCCCCCGCCGGGAACCCCAAAACGGGACCCGTCCCCCACCCCAGACGGCCCCAAACGGGACCTGCCCCCCACCCCGGGCACCCCAAAACGGGACCTGCCCCCCCCCGTCCCTGTCACCCCTCTGGGGGGTCGGGGGTCCCAAACGGGACCTGCCCTCCCCGTCCCTGTCACCCCTCTGGGGGGGCGGGGGTCCCTCGGCCGTCCCCAAACGGGACGCGCCCCCCCCTTTTCCCCCCGTGGATTTTCGCATCCCGGGGCAGGTGGGGGAGGACGGGGGGGAAGGGGGGGAGTGGGGAGGGGGCGATGGCGGGTGGGTGAATCCCCCCGGGGGGTCGGGCAGGGCGGGGCTGTAGCGTTTTTGGGGGGTTTGTCGCGGGTAAATGTGGCTGTGAGGGGAGAGGTGGTCCCGGTCACTCGCTGGGGGGGGGCGCGGCGCTGACACGAGGGGGGGACACCGAGATCGCGGGGTGGGGGAGGGTCCTCATGGCTGGGGGGGGGTTGGGGGTCCCACGATGGTCGCTGGGGTGGGGGGTCCTCGGTGCTGTGAAGGATTGGGGGTCCCACCGTGCTCCTTGGGGGGTCGTCACGGCTGGGGGGGTGTTGGGGGATCCCACGATCCCCCCTGGGGTGGGAGGGTGTCCTTGTCACCCTGCAGGGCGTTTGGGGGGATCCCCTGGCACTCACGGGATGGGGGGTGCGGGGTCCTCACCCCCACTGGGGGGGTTGGGGGTCCCACAGCGCTCCCTGAGGGGGGGCGGGGTCCTCATTGCTGCCGCCACGGGGCGTCTGGGGGAGGATCTGACGGGTCTGGGGGGCTCTGAGGGGTCTGGGGGAGGGTCTGAGGGGTCTAGGGGAGGGTCTGAAGGGTCTGGGGGACTCTGAGTGGTCTGGGGCTGCCATGGGCTCCCCTCCGCCCCGCGGGGACTACAGCTCCCGGCAAGCCTCGGGCACCGGGGCGGAAATGCCCCGTTTCCCATCATGCCTCGCGGTACCGAGGCGGAAGTGGCTCTTCATCCCGTCCCCAGGAACTACATTTCCCGTCGTGCCCCGCGCACGACACTGGAAATCCAGAGCCACCCGCGCCGAGGCAGCTCCTGCCCCGCTCCCTGATCCCGGTCCTTGATCCCAAATCCCGATCCATGATCCCGATCCCAGAAGTGGAACCTTCGTTTCCCCCACGGGACCGAAGAGGAAGTGTCTCTCCTTCTCATGCTTGAAACTACGTTTCCCATCATGCCCCGCGCCGGGACAGGAAATCCGGCGAGGCCTCCGGAGCTGCCCGGGCCGAGGCCTCTCCGGCCCCGCCCCCGATCGCACTCTTGATCGCGATCCCTTTTCCCGATATCGATCCTTGATCCCAATCCCCGAAACAAAGCCCTCGTTTCCCCCGGGACCGAGGTGGGAGTGCCTCTCCCTGTCATCCCGGGAACTCCATTTCCCATCACACCCCGCGGTTTCTCGTCCCGGAACTCCATTTCCCGTCGTGCCCCGCGCCCGGCACAGGAAATCCGGCGCCGCCTGAGGAGCCGCCCGGGCCCTCATCCCAAACCCCGATCCCCAATCCCCAAATCCCGGCCCCGCTCCCGGCCCGGCGGCCCCGCCGCCGCCATGGGGTGCACGCTGAGCGCCGAGGACAAGGCGGCGGTGGAGCGGAGCAAAATGATCGACAGGAACCTCCGCGAGGACGGCGAGAAAGCGGCCAAGGAGGTGAAACTGCTGCTGCTCGGTGAGCACGGGGGAGGGAATGGGGGAGTCTGGGGGGAATGGGGGGGTCTGGGGGGGCAATGGGGGTCTCCAGCCTGAGGAAGGGGTTTGGGGAGGGAGAAATTGGGGTCTCGTGGCCTCAGGAGGGGATTTGGGGGAGAATGGGGGGATTTGGGGGGGATTTAGGGGGTCAGGGAGGGATTTGAGGGGGCATTGGGGGTCTCTGGGGGGGCACTGGGGGTCTCCTGCTCTTAGGGGGGGGTTTGTGGGGGGGGAGTGGGGGTCTCAGGGGTTTTTTTTTGAGGGGGTCTTCTGCTCTTAGGGGGATCCCAAGGGATCCTGGAAGGGCTCAGAAGGGTCCTGAGGGGTCCCTGGGATGTTCCAAGGGATTCTGGGAGTTGAGGAGGATCCCGAGGGATCCCTGGTCCCCTTTTCCTGAGATTCTCCTCCCAGGGGGGCTCTGAGTTTCCCAGGATGCCTCTCCTTGGCTTTCCCCCTGGAACATCCTCCCTGTCCCATGAGATGTTCCTGGAGCTCCCGACCCCATTTCTGCCTGGAAATCTCTCCCAGATCTTTTTCTTGGGTTTCAAGACCAGGGTGGGGATTCCTGGGAATGCCAGGGAGTGCTGGAATCTGGTTGGATCCAGTGGGTTGTTCCCACCTTTCCCACCTGGCTCAGCCGTGCTGGGAGCAGCCGGAGCAGCACTTTGGGGAGGGATAAATCCACCAGGCACCTCTGGAATTCGGGAATTTCCAGCGGGTGAGCTCCTGGCGGCCGTAACCGAAATCCGGGAAGGACGCGCCAGGAGCTCTTCCAGGGGCAATTCCCAAGGAATCTCCTCCTCCAACCCCCCCCAACCCCACATCCTGCCTTCCTTTGGAATTCCCTGTGTCCAGCGGGATATTCCCTGTGCTTTCCAGGCGCTGGCGAGTCTGGGAAGAGCACCATCGTGAAGCAGATGAAGTGAGTGATTCCCAGGATTCGGGGGGACGGTGGGATGGGCGGGAATGACGGTGCTGTGGCTGCAGGATCCTCCATGAGGACGGACATTCCGAGGAGGATGGAGGGGATGGGCGGGATGGGAGCGGGAATGACACTCTGTGGTTCCAGGATCATCCACGAGGACGGATATTCCGAGGAGGAATGCCGGCAGTACCGGGGGGTCGTCTACAGCAACACCATCCAGTCCATCGTGGCCATCGTCCGGGCCATGGGCCGGCTCCGCATTCCCTTCGGGAATCCCGCCAGGGCTGTGAGTGCCCGGGGTGTGGGAGCCAACTGGGAATGGGCTCGGGACAAGGGAGCCACTGGGAATGGGGTTGGGAGCCGGGATCCACCTGGGAATGGGTTTGGGAAAAGGGACTCTCTCAGGGCCGTGAGTGTCCTGGGATTCCACTGGGAATGGGGTTGGGAGCTGGGAGCCACCTGGGAATGGACTTGGGACAAGGAACTAACCAGGGATCCCTCAGGGCTGAGAGTGTCCAGGATCCTGCTGGGAATGGGTTTGGGAGCCAGGATCCACCTGGGAATGGGCTCAGGATGAGAGAGGATCCAGGGATCCCTTGGGATGGGGCACTCAGCCTGGGATCTCACTCTGGGAATGGGTTTGGGACAGGAGAGGATCCAGGGATCCCTCAGGGCCGGGAGTGTCCCAGGATCCACCTGGGAATGGACTTGGGACAAGGGACTCTCTCAGGGCTGGGAGGGTCCGGGATCCCGCTGGGAATGGGCTCGGGATGAGAGATGATCCAGGGATTCCTCAGGGCCCTGAGTTCCTGGGATCCCACTGGGAATGAGCTCAGGACAAGGGACTAGCCAAGGATCCCTCAGGGCCGGGAGTGGCCAGGATCTGGGATCCACCTGGGAACGGGCTTGGGACAAGAGAGGATCCAGGGATCCCTCAGAGCCAGGAGGATCCAGGGATCCCTCAGGACAGCAGGATTCATCCCAGGATTCTATTCTGGGAATGGGTTTGGGACAAGAAAAGATCCAGGGATCCTTCAGGGCCGGGACTGTCCCAGGATCCCTCGGGATGGGACCCTCAGCCCAGGATTCCCCTCAGCAGCCCCTGGACACTGGGAGCGGGGAGGATTCCCGCTGCTCCCAGGGCTCTCCGGGGCCGTCATTCCCAGTTCATTCCCGGTTCATTCCCAGTTCATTCCCGGTTCATTCCCAGTTCATTCCCGGTTCATTCCCGGTT